TGACCATGTACTGCTGACAAGTTGAGTGATATGGCAAATGATATGAAAGCGTTGCAGCGAAATGTAAACAAATGCAGGATGAAATTGCAATAATTAAAGAAATCAAAAGTGGGGTCAAACGGTTGATTGAAGTGATGACATTTGTCAGGACTTTTTGGAATCCCGGTGCCTTGTAATGAGGAAAATTCCACTACAACACATCCAACTTACCGTATTTGAATTAATTGTGAAGTCGGTAACGTTGGATTCTACAAATGCATACTGAATATCATAAGACTCGTAGGCATCTGTTGCAGCATTCGCTACATAGGTGCCATCTGGCTGGTTCTCAGAAACATATTCGTCGAGATATGTTTGATTGTAGTTTTTAGTATTTTCCGTTAGTTTCAATTTAATCGTCGCGTTGTTGCTTCCTCTACATCCTTCGCCATCGAATGCATATATATCTATATCCACAACGTCGTTAATTACGGTCACCCTGGCATCAGGCATTTCACTGATGACAAGTTTCTGGGCACTTCGTACATTATTGTCGTTCATCCAAAAAAAAAAGTTTTCAAGGTAAACTCCGTAGCTGATATCACCTCTTTTTCCTGAGTCTAAATCAGTTGCATACACAGGGGAAATGAATGTGTTCGCTGCTGAGTATTCCAATATCTCTGTAATATATATTGTGGGTGAAAATATGGGGATGTTGTCATTGATGTCTAACACAGTTACGTGCACAGGAACATATTTAACTGTGACAGTGTTATATTGATTCTGAATAACAACAGTGAATGTTATGGTCTGATTCACTTCTCTGTCTATATCACCGTCCGTAACAATATAACCATCATCAGACCCGTCGAATACACTGTCAGCATAGTCTTCTAGTATTGAGTAAACTGGGTCATCTAAATCGGACGCTTCTACCGATGTGTCACCAACAAACGTTTCTGTAAAAAACTGTTCTTCTACTTGCAACTGATAAAAATTACTCCCATACCAAGTAACGTTTGTCGCGCACGAGACATCTGTTGAAAAAACGAAATGTTTTATGTAGACATCATAAAGATACCACATAACCGACACTCAAATATCGATGTAACAGAATTGAAAACATGAGGATTAGATTTAAATATGTCGAGTTTTGTTTTGAAATACCCAAATTATTTGCATATGCAATTACTCTATTATGTGAGATAGAAGTAGTGATATCTACTGCGCAGGTGTAGACAACACTAAAGAATGTTAAATATTTCAGGAAAGCACATTAAATGTTACTATGTTCAATTAGAACAATGTTAATGACTGTGTTGCATTACTAGAATCCACATTGTGGAATGACACTGCCCAAGATTGTTTCCATGAACATTCTGAAGCACACTTTATCCAACTGACTCAACATTTAAGGTTGTTGTTTTGTTAAAAATGAGTAAATTTGATTTGTTTTCAATACTGATAATGATCTTATGAGGTTTCAGAAAATTGGCTTGCTTATATTGAATAAGTAGATGCATTAATGTACACTATCAAGTTGTGAGGAATTTTAGTGTTGTTAGATCGAAAATTGTCATCATTCATCACAGACTGTGATAGTTACTAGCCATTTATTCAACGCGACAAAAATATATCTGCACAATTTTATTTCAGAACTGACCAAATCTGGAGGATGTTAAGAGTGAGTATTTTAATTACCTGTAGTCATCATGGATTCTGTAGTCATCATGGTTCCTGTAGTTAAACTGGGTTATGTAGTTACACTGGGTGTAGTAGTTACAATGGGATCTGTAGTTATCACTGATTCTGTAGTTACCACGGGTTCTGCAGTTACAATTGGTTCTGTAGTTATTATTGATTCTTTAGTCACACCGGGTTCTGTAGTTACATTGGGTTTTGTTGTTACACTGAGTTCTGTAGACACTATTGATTCTGTAGTTACACTGTGAGTTCTTTAGTTTCCATTGACTCTGTAGTTACACTGGATTCTGTATTTACCATTGATTCTGTAGTCACACTTGGCCCTGTAGTTAAATTGGATTCTGTAGTTACACTGGGATCTGTGGTTACCATTGATTCTGTGGTTACATTGGGTTCTGTAGTTACACTGGGTTCTGTTGTTAAAGTGGGTTCTGTAGTTACATTGGGTTTTGTAGTTACACTGGGATCTGCACTTATTATTGATTCTGTAGTTACATTGGGTTCTGTTGTTACACTGGGTTCTGTTGTTGCACTGGGTTCTGTTGTTACACTGGGTTCTGTAGTTACATTGGTGTCCTGTAGTTACACCGGGATCTGTATTTATCTTTAATTCTGTAGTTACACTGGGTTCTGTTGTTACACTGAATTCTGTAGTTACATAGGGTTCTGTAGTTACATTGTGATCTGTATTTATCATTGATTTTGTAGTTACACTTGGTTCTGTTGTTACACTTGGTTCTGTTGTTACGCTGCGTTCTGTAGTTACACTGGGATCTGTATTTATCATTGATTCTGTAGTTACACTGGGTTA